ATTATGTTTTCTGAAATGCATTAAGTCTGCTATAGTTCCTAGAAGTAACAACACTATCTCGCACAGTCGCTAACTGTGCAGAAACTAGCTCGCACGTAGTTTGCAGATATAAGACTCCTATCTCTAATAGTACTAGATTTACAGAACAGGAGTAAGCCCTAATAAGCTGCAGGCTATATTTGGCATAGAAGGACTTAGAACTGTCCTACCAAACACTTGCGCCAACTGAACCGTAGTCTTACCTCCTTCTGCCTCTTTTACAGGAGTAATACAGGAATGGTTTAGGTAATGGCTAAGATCTAAAACAACTAAAGCATAGTTAAGCAATATAGCTACATAGTGCTAAACAGTAGAGGACAGTAACTAGACTGTTCCGACGTCAACCTAACGTTAGAAAAAAGTAACTAGAGCGACTTTGTTAAATCGTTATATCTATTAAATCAACAGCAAATTGCAGCGACACTACTAACCAGACACTTTTCACTTTTCCTAACGTATAAAATATTAAAGATATATAAGATTATATTTATAGCTTTCTTTACTCTTCTTACTTAGTATACTAGAGTTCTAGCTATATAATAGTATTACCTCTATCTTACTAGGTTTTATAAAACTACTATAGATATAGATAGCAAGCAGATAGTAGATAAGTGCTATAATAATATATTTATAATATATTACTAATATATTTATTATTAGGCGCTTTAAGCGCTATCTTAGTAGCATTAACTTATAATATTAACTTTAGCAGTAGTAGCTTATAAACTATATAAGATTATACTAAATCTATATTCTTTATAGTATTAAATTAGGCTATACTATAGTCTCTTTATATAACTAACTCTAGATAGAGTTATATAAGAGCGCTGCTTAATTCTAAGTCTGCTAATAAGTACTATGCTTATATAGATCTTTTAGAAAGTATATTAGTATTATTAGTATATACTAAATATAATACTAATAAGTTATAGTAAATAAAAAGAGTAAGCTAGTAATAAACTAGATAAGATATAAGAAGTACTAAGTTATTATAGCTAAGCTCTATTAGCTATATAGCTATATTTTAAAGCAGATATAGAATATTTTAGAGTTATACTTAAATGCTGCTAAGTAAGCAGGCTTAAAGAAATACTATATAGAGACTAAGATACTACTATTAGAGAGAATGCTAATATACGTATGTAGAAATAAGTTTTAAATATAGTTCTAATATATTCTTAGAGCAATAAAGATAGATAGGCAGAATATTAAGAAATATAATAATAAGAAATTATATAGTAGTTGCTATTCTAATAGAAATATTAACTTATAGAGCTAAAGATACTTCTATAATATAAAGTAAGAGATAAGTAGAGAGAAGAAGAGAAGTAAGTATAATCTATATTAACATATTTATAATATATTTATAATATATTTATAAGTTCTATAGAGTATTAATAAGACTAGAAGATTATTAAGATTAAAGATAATAATAAGGTTCTTAATTTATCTAACTCTTCTAGGTATATTTAATAACCTCTAAAGAAGAAGAGGTTATCTTAGTTAATTTAGTAACTTATATTAAATAGTTATATATTACCTAGCTAGCTACTGCCTAGGTTATCTCTACTATAGAAGGTTATTATAATATATATTATTTAATATATTCTTAATATATTTATAATATATTTATAGAGAGTCTAGTTTACTATATACTTCTTCTTTCTCTATTACTGCGCTTCTCTAAGAAGAGAAAGAAGCTTTTAAGATATAATAAGAGTAAGCTACCTTTAAATAGTAATAGAAGAAGTAAAAGCTATATATAAAGAAGTAAGTATTAAACTTAAGAAGAAAAGAATTAGCTTTTATAAGTGCTAAATAGAAGCTTACTTAATATAGCTAAAATATATTAGAAATATATTAAATTAGCACTAAAAATTTTTTACTACTATTCTATATCTAGTAATCTGCGTATATATTAAGCTGCTTTTAGCTCTGCTCTTACCTTATATACTAACTCTCTTCTTATTAATACTCTTTATTATAAATAATAAAATACTGCTACGCTATATAAGAGGCTACGTATCTTATCTCTAATATATTTCTAATATATTCTTATAAGTAGCATATTAGAAGTACTTTTTCTTTAATAGTCTCTCTAATAGATACTTACTATTTAACTAAGACTATACTATAATCTACTAAGAAGAGCTATTCTATTATGCTGTTATTAGTAGAGCTCTCTATTATATAAGTCTATATAAATATATTTAAAATATATTAGTAATAGAATATAGTAGAAGTTTTAAGATAGAGATACTCTAAAGATATACCTTTATAAGTGCTACTTAGAATATACTCTTAATAAGATTTAGAGCAGTAAATAGAGTTAGTTATCTATAAAATCTATATATAAGAGCCTTACTTTCTTTAGTAATCTTATTATATTTATAGAAAGTAAGAGTAAATATATTTCTAATATATTAGATATATATTCTTCTATATATAAACTATAACCTTTGCTATAAGAGTATACTCTGCCTAGATATATAAAAAAAGCTCTAAAATAGAGCTCTTTAGAGCATAGGCCTACTCTAAGCTCTAGTACTATACTCTCTCTAGAGACTACTATACTACTGCTCTCTGCTTCTTCTAATTCTAGAATACTATTTTTATAATATATTCTAGATATATTATTAATATATTCTAAGCCTTAAGAAACTTTAGTTCTTCTTTCTATGCATATAACTTAAGAAAGAAAGTAAATATCTTCTATTCTCTACTCTTAGTATAAGATAAGTAACTTAAAGACTAGAAGAGAGAAAAAAGATATTAACTCTTAAGAATATATTTAATATCTTAAGTTAAAAGATATAAGTATTCTATGCTTAAAGTATAGAGCTAAGAATAAAAGAGATAAGCTTTTATTTTTATCTTTAAATAAGTTACTAACTTATTATAGAGTATACTCTTATTAGAAAGTATTTTTCTAGAAACTACTTTAAGTTCTAATAAGTATAGTATAGACTAAGAAAATATCTTTCTCTTTCTTTCTTAGAGTATATCTTTTTTTATAGAAAATATATTATATAGAGATTCTTAATATATTTATATTTTATGCAAATATAATATATTATAAATATATTTCTAGAGTTAGAGAATCTCTTTATCTTAAAAGTTATTATATAATATATAATAGTACTAAGATAAATAGTGCTAGAAAGAGATATAATATGCTCTTTTAAGATTCTTATATAGATACTTATTTAAAAACCTTATATAAGAACTTAGAAAGAGCGTATTAAGTAAGATTATATTTAGAGTTTACTTTTATAGAGATGCTACTAACTTTAGCATAATATATTATAAATATATTTTAAGAGCTACTTAATTCTTATATATTTACTAAGCTAGCCTAGCCTTTAAGCGCTAGATAGTATACTATAGCTAAACTTCTAAGAGTCTTATAAAGAAAAGAGAAATAGCATAATAATATATTATTATGCTGTTTCTCTTATTATACTACTAATATATATTCTTATATTTACGTATATTTTCGATATATAGTTATAGCATAGAAGATAATTAATTATGCAAATCTTAGATTGCTTATAGTAATATATTATTAACATATTATTAATATATTCTTATGCCTCTCTTCTACTATCTACTTATTATTCTATATAAATAGCTTGCAGCTCTTAGAGATATTCTTATTATTCTCTACTTTCTTAAATATATAGGCTAAAATATATTAGTAATATATTTATAATATATTTATAGAACTTATTATGCCTGTCTTTAGCGTAGCATATACTATAGAGCATAGTACTATTATCTTAGATAGCGCAGACTATAGTAATTATAGTAGTTCTATAGAGCTATAAACTATTAGTAAAATATATTTATAATATATTTATAATATATTTTATTACCTATTCTGCGCAGATACTATAAGCATAGCAGATAGTAGAGATCTACTTATCTACTATACGCAGGCTAGCCTTATATATAACTATAGCTTACTAGGCTTAAAAGTAAGTAGTATTAGCAGTAGTAGTATAAGTAGCTATAAGATTTAAATAGAAGACTAAAATATATTAGTAACTTATTTTAAAAATATTTAGAGATATATTAGAAATATATTAGAAATATATTTATACTTCTATGCCTATAGAAAGTTACTACTAGATTAGCCTCTGCTAAAGTAAGAGAAGTCTATAATACTAATGCTATACTTTAAGCTTCTAAAATAAGTCTTTAGAGTACCTATAGCACTTAGCACTTTCTATAATATATTAGTAATATATTAATATTAAGATATAAAATATATTCTAAATATATTAGTAATATATTTTAACTTACGCTATATAAGATATTATTATCTATATTCTTATAGCATTGCTACTTAGTATATATAATAATATAATAGCTCTACGTATTCTGCGTAAAGAGTAAGTAGCTAGTAAGTAAGTAGTCTAGAGTAAGATAGTCTAAGTAAGATACTTTTAAAATATATTAGTAATATATTATAAATATATTTTTAGTATTACTTATATAGTTCTCTATAGCCTTAAAGCCTAAGCTAGAGATATAAGCTAAAAGTATTTTAATATATTTATAACGTGTTTTAATTTACTATAGATATAATTACTTTTTAAAAAGTAATTTAGAGTATAGTTATTAGTAAGGTGCGTAAATATATTATAAATATATTTATAACATGTTTTTGCTATAGCTCGCTTATTCTAACCTAGGCCTATTAAGCTTCTAGCGGCCCTACTTAGCATAGTTAGGTAGGTTTTTCGCATGGTCGGATTAACTGCTTCCTTCCGCCAATCGCCGGCCTGTGCCTTGCAGTCGCGTCGTAATCGTGCAGCAGCCCATGTTTCGCGCCGAGGCGCCATCCTTCACGACACCTTCTGTACTAACCACTGCATGTTCGTCGCGCCTAGCATCTATGGAGAACTCGCAAAGCAGAGTGTAAAATCCTGTTGTGCCTGGCTTCTCCCAACTATACCTCAATGGGAAACACTCCGACTACCACCGACGTTGTTTGACTTCGCCTGACCCCCTGCGCTTGGGGAACGACGACGCTTCCATGAAGAAGTGAATGCGCTGAACAAAGAGGAGGCTCGTGACTTAGCCATCGGCGGTGTTGAGATTCCCTCACGAACAGACTTGACTGGACTGGGGGTGCGCAGCCTCCACTCGTCTACCGGATATGCTGGGTGTGGACTATAAGCCGTAGATGACCTAGCATCATCCTTCTTTGGAATCGTGGGCAGGACTTTATTGCTCTGCTGAGTTGGGACGAGCTTGATAGATGGTGGCATGGAGAGGCGGTAGGACTGTGGTGCAGTGCCTACGCCCCCGCTGTGACGCTGTCGTGACTGCCGGCCTGTCCTCAACGTCTCTTCTGACGCTTTCTCGCTGGGTGCACCACGTGGAATGTAGGCGCGCGGTTGCTCTAGGGAACCGCTCACACATTGTGCTGGCCCCGAAACTGACGACGCAGCTTGGCCTTCTGTAGCAGCAGCGCTATCGCCGCACTCGAAGAAGATGTCATCACCGCGGGTCGAAGCACGGCTGACATTTCTCGCCGTTGAAAGAGAACGCTGGCTGCCATCGGCATCGTATGGCTCAATAATGGGCATGTCGTTCTCATCCAATGCATCCTCGGCCAGCAGGCCCAGATGGTGCAGCTGTTCCCATGTGCGGTAGAAGTACTTGAACGTAGCAAACGGCTGATCGATGGGATCCGTAAGTGCGAACTTATAGAACCGCTTCGGCTGCTCTGAGCTGGCGCGCCCGGCGTTGATGAGGCCGATGCCCTTTCCCTTTCCCGCATGTTCCGTCTTCTCGTAAGACTCCACCTCCCTCTCAATCCTCTTCCTTCCATGCGCCCGAAGCACTCGGATCTCAAGACACATCTTCTCATCAAACACATCCTCCACATCGTCCCACTTCTTCTTGTCCTTCATCGCTGTGAACCTCAAAGCCCTCTTCTCCAGCCTCTGCCTACCATCCTCATCTTCTGGCCGCTCATACAACCCAAACATAGTCTTTCCCTTCCATTCCTCCTCTTCACCAGTAGACCAGCTCACAATGTGCGCGCCATTAATGTAGAGCTTGAAGAGGAAGTATTGGCCAACGGGTACGGGCGGTGAGACGGAGTAGCCTATCCAGAAGAGGCTGCCGGGCAAGACGGGAATGTAGACACTACATGTGGAGGTTGTCTCGTCGATGAGCTTTGGAACTCTGTGCGTGTCGGGGTAATTCTTCTGTGGTAGAGGGAAGTACTCTGGTAAGGTCTCGACGTCGAATTGCGAGTGCAGCGCGATGTTGATGCTCCGGTAGGTCGGCATTGTTGAGCTGGGCAAAGTCTAGAAGTGCGCAGTTGGGCTGAATACGCGCTCGCGATGCGTTTGCTCTTTCCCCGCTGGAGTGGATGCGCACGTGACGGAATGGGCTCGCAAATGCACATGGCCGCAGGTGGCTCTTCACCTTTGTCGCGATGCATTGCAGTAGGCCATGTTCTATTCGAACGTAAGTACACTGAGACATGGGGCTGTTGCTAACATGCTCTTACAGGGAGCCCGATCTCTTGGATTTTCTTGAGTCAGCCATATGCACTCACCTGCTTGTAGTAACAGGTTCTGCGATGATCCTCAAACTTGGCTCACTTATCTCCGTAGAGCACAACGACATGCCATCTAATTATACTCGACGGTCATCTCAGCTAAGCGTCATCCAGCGAGGCGATTCAGTTGGCATCAAAGATTTTGTTAGACCTCCAGGCTTGTCCATCGTCGAACGCGAACATATCAGGCCGTTGCTACCCGAGGATTTCAACCCTTTCACCCTTGGGAGTGATTCTCTTTCACTTGGCCTCAATACTGCTCTTACTAGCAAAGGCAACAGCGACTTGATTAGTCCTACTTTTGTCTCATTCACCCAGGTTTGCGTACGACGCTTGTGGCCTCGAGCTACATAATCACCTCAACTCCTAGCTGCAACGAGAGGCTTACCTCTTCTGCTCCGCCACTCCTCGGCTGCTGATCTCAACTCGCTACTGAACTCGAGCGGAGGCAATCGACCACTTTACAACCATCCCGATGTCTTACACTAACGGGCGACCCAAGAAGTCTTCGCAATCGCTGACAGCTTCACAACTGACAGGGTGGGTATATGTTCCTTCCAACGCCAGTGAATTTACTAACAAAATATAGACTTAAGAAAGGCCCAAAGGCCTCGATCATTGTCGGTCCTGATGACGACCACTTCATCGGCTTGGAAGGCGTTTCTATCAGTCTTATCTCGCACTTTTCCCCATATGCGAAGAAGAAACTTATCGAGGAGCGTACCGGAAAATTGTGTATTCCCAATGGATCGAAGCTGCCCGTCCGTTGGATCTACAAGTACATGCAAGCTGGCGAGAAGGACCCGGACGATGAAGACACTTTCGAACAGCTACCCTTTGATAGTCTCGTCTTGCTATACACCCATAGCGCATTCCTCCAGTACGAGCCTCTCCTGGATCGCATTGTTGGACGTCTCAAGGGCAAGTATCATAGTGCCCTACCCACCATCGAAGAGATCACGACTTTCTCTGCCTTCATCCCGCCTCTCCTCGACTACTCAGCGCGTGTCCTCGCCCATGAGATGGCCAATCCTTGGGCTTGCAACTACTCCGCTTACCTAGAGTACGCCAAGGTGGATGATGCATTCGAAGATGCGTTGGATAAGGCCATGAAGGACCTTCTTGCGCACCGCATTCAGAACGGCAAGCATTACTATGCCACAATCACCAATCTGGGTGTCCGCTGGTCGCAGAACTACTACGACAACCTTAAGAACCTCAGCATCACTTCTTTCAAGCTACGGGACCCAGCTGATAGTGAGAAGAAGGTTGCTTCTGGTCCGAACAACAAGATCCGTCGTGGGCGCCGCGGCGGCAAGCGACCAGCCAGGCAATCGGTCAAGTCATCTCAAGACACCACAGGAACACAGGACGAGACATCTAGCGAACAATCCCAGCACCTGGAGAGGGTCATCATTTGCTTCAACTGCCGGGAAGCTCACCACATTGCACGGGACTGCTTGGCCAAGCCGGTCTGCTTCAACTGTAGCGTTGCAGGCCACGCCTCGCGCGACTGTACAGAAGGCCCTGACGAGCTATGCGTATCGAAAAAACAGGCACAGGCAGCTCGCGTTTGCTACAACTGTAATGAGAAGGGTCACATCGCCAAAGATTGCACGGCCCATCACAAAGGAGACGGTCCCGAAGACCAAGCGTCAGCCGTTCACTCGCTACAACTGCCGTGGAAAGGGGGCCACATCGCTCGCAACTGCAAGGCTGAGACCAAGACGCCCTCTACCAACAACGAGCGTGCTCCGCCAGTCTGCTACAACTGTACCGAGGAAGGCCATCTGGCTCGGGACTGCTCTGCGCCTGCTGCTGGGGCATACAACAGCGGCCCGCGTGATGTATCTGGCCGCAACCGCCACTTCCGTCGTGCTCAGCATGATCGAGTAGCCAAGCGCATCGAGGTCATGGGCAACGGTGAAGGCCTTCGTACTTGCGATCGCGAAGTGCGCAAGGGAGAATTGACTCGCACAGGCCTTGTCGTCTAGACGCTCAACCTGGCGCAGGCGAGTGCGAGAAGCCGACGGAGGGCAATGAAAATGAGATCATACTTTGAACCAGGAAATTCAATAGCTTGAGGACGTAGGGAGAAGGATTGTGACTTTCTGGAGCTGGACCAACAAGTTGAGCATTGCTCTTAGCTCAGTTTTTGCATCTCATCAATTCATTCATACGATCACACCTCCAAACAACTTGATCTTTTATGATTAGCACCCAAACTACTGCGATGATTCCTTGTGCAACCTGTGTCGTCTCGCATCTCTTTGTCTTTGTTTTGGTACCTAGCCCTGGAGTTTTCTTGCGACCTACTTGAGCTAGTCCATTTCCGTCACCCAGACATAGCGGCACCAAGCTTCGCTCGACCATCATCTTGCCTTCACATCACACATTTTCATCATCTCATCTCACTCCATCTACTCTAACTCACCAACCCTGGTATGACATCTCCCACCACATTACGCCTTGCGCATTTCTCCCCAGTCTTCAACACCTCACAGCCAAGAGCACAGCCGAATTCACACGACATCCTCGTTATTTCTTTGTCCTTGATAATGAAGCAACGCATGCCTATCTCAGGGGTTTCGAGTGCGACGGATGCGTTCGAGGCTGATGTTGCGTCTTTGTTCGTCCCGATATGGTGAACAAAGACTTCATGGAACTTTTGGGTGAGATGTCGCCCTCGAGGAGAAGACACTCTCAACATCCTGACTCTAGCAAAAAAAAACGGCTTCGGCAATCACAAACGAGAATTGAGCGGAAGAAATAAGAAGATAGGCACGTCGAGCACTAAGAACGGCAAGATGGTGCTTTATCATGCGAATGGACGGGTTGTTAAGGCGCATGAAGACTATTTGGAAAAAGAAGAGGCGAAGCTGATAAAACGACATCTATACAGAGACCAAATTGCCGAGGCCAAAAAGAAAGACCCGAATGCTCGTGAACAGGAGGGCATGCGTGTCAGGATTGTGGTTGACGAACAAAATTATCAAGAGCTGTATAATTTTACTACGGAGAATTTCCACGTCGAAGATCTTGGAATGAACGTTGCTACGGCATCGGATCCGATACCTGAGGAGGGTTTGGACAGAAAGGACTTTGATGAGGCTTTCATCCTTCGCCGACGACTTTTTCACTTACAGCCCTGACGCTGTGGAGTTGCATCTTCCGGTCTGCTATCCTGATATTCACATTTCACTAAGTAACGATCCAGAACGAGAAGGCATGCAAAAAAAGACCGATGAACAGTTAGCATATATTCGCCTGCAGG